TAGTGGAAGTGTCCACAAAAGCTGGGGTTTTCAAAAGACCAGTTAGAAAAATTGTTCGTCTGCCGGTCATGTAATTTTACCATTCCCATTGTAATTAGTTCATTCATTTAATTTTTATTTTAATATTGTTGAACTTGGTCCTTCTTTGTCGGTACTGATAGCAGTGTTGCCACACGGGGGGTGCTGTGTTACCGACAAAGGAGGTCAAAGTATACTATCAATTACTCGTTGATGTTAATATATTTTTAAAAAGAAAATAAATGTCATTCTATCAATTTATGTCACTGCAGAGCTGGTTTTTATTTATATTATTTTTCCGTTTTATTTCTTTCGTTTACACGACTGTTAGTGAAATCCATTATAAGTATAAATTATGGTTTTTAGTGGCGTATGGTATTATACGACATTTAGTGATATTTTATTGAGGATATTTACTTCAAGTGCCGTCATTTAAGCGTTTGATTGTTATAAAATATTGAGCTTTACTGAGTTACCTTAGAATCGTAAATTATTTGGAAACGCGGGAGAGGTAGGGGGGAGAGCGTCTGACTTGCCAGTCGCCAACCGCGCCTTAGTTTAGTGCGAACGACGATGCGTACGAGTATAGTAGTGTGTTTTGTGTAGCCGCACCCGAGCGAAAACGTGTTTGAACTGGTTACCGTGAGTATGTTATACCTTTACTTGGTTCTATTTTATTGATTCGAGTAGATATCAATTGTTTTACTTTTTACAGATCCTTTTTTTTAAAATGGACGTCATAGTAAAGTGGCGGGATGGAACAAGGAACTGTGTTTCTACAAAGGAATTAAAATGCACTAACAAAGGAGATTACGTTACTCGTATTGGTGCCCAAGTAAAGATGTATTATAAGAATAAGTGGTACTTCGGAACCGTTGTTATGACAGAAGAAGTTAATCAGGTAACGTTGGAGAACAGCAAAAGGGATGATTTTAATTCTTCAGATGATGAGCCTTTGGTTAACGTATTGAAACGGTATGCTATTCAGTTAGATAAAGAAGATCCATTTTGCAATATTGACATTGAAGAACCCAATGATCCTGACTTTGTCATGCCATTAAGCCCACGAAGCAGATCAGTCTCAAGTGATGCGACTGTCTGTTTGGAAAATAATATTACTATATTCGATAAAAACAATAATTACCCCTCTGAACATACTTATTATGGCCCAAATCAGTTAATTTATTCAGGAAATGAAGATTCTTACCACGTTCAATCTTGTGAGGTAACTGTATGTCACAATGAAGTCTTCAGCTCGTGTTTTAGATGTCAGATTTTACTCTGCTGGGAACATTTCGCAATAAATGATAGTTCATGCGAAAATCATCTTTATATTCAACCAGATGATGCCGGTCAAACGCATTCTGAATCTCCAAGTATTTTACTTAATAATAATGATCAAATTCAAATGCTTCCAGAAGATTTTTATGTTGAAGGAGCACCAAAAGAGGCAAATATAACTAGAAAAAAGAAGTTCGATAAAAAAAAGTTTAATAAACTTATGAAAGATAGTGGGGAGGTATATACTACCCAGGTCACCAAAAAAATTATTCCAAAACGTGAAATAAAAGCTTCATGTAACGTCGTCACTTGTAAAAAATACAAAAGAGATTGTTATCTTTTTAATCAAGAAATTCGACAAAATATATTTGCGAAGTTTTGGGCTCAAAGTAACTTACAATCTCAACGAGAATATATAGTTCGACATGTTCAAAGAATGCTCCCGAAACGTAAGATTGTTCAGTCAAATTCTAGAAGACAATACACTTTGATTTACCATATGCCATTTGAAAATGTTTCAAAAAGAGTGTGCAAGAAATTCTTTTTAACTACTCTGAATATTACTGAACGAAACGTGAGAACGGCTCTAGAAAAAGTTGATATTACAGGTGTTGTTGAAAAGGATAAGCGTGGAGGCCGCAGAGCCTCACATTTAGTGAATGACAAGGAATGTTGGCGATTGATAGAAGAACATATAAACCGGTTCCCAAAGGTGGAATCCCATTATTGCCGCGAAAAGAGTACTCGTGAATACTTTAATTCCGATCTAACTATACGAAAAATGTATCAAATGTTTTGTGATGAACTTAAGGATAGTCCAGTAAAGCCGAGTTTATCCTTGTACCGCCGGATATTTAAATGCAATAATTTGTCGTTCCACCGTCCTAAAAAGGATCAGTGTAGTCTTTGCATGACGTTCCATAAAGGTTCAGAGGAAGAAAAATCACGTTTGTGTGAAAGTTTCAATAAACACCAAGAAGATAAATCTTTATTTCGTCAGAAAAGAGCATTATGCAAAAAAGAAGCCCAATACACTCCGTCAAAAATCCAATGTGCAACTTTTGATCTGCAGCAGGTCATCAACTTACCTATCAGTAATGAAAGTGCAGTATTCTACAAAAGGCGGCTCTCGGTATATAATTTTACCATTTACGATATGGCAATGGGAGATTGTTACTGCTTCACTTGGCACGAAGGAGAAAGTAAAAGAGGATCGTGTGAAATATCATCTGCACTGTATTCTTTTTTGAAGAAAAGTGATGACAAAGGAATCCAACGAGTTTACTTGTTTGCCGATGGATGCAGCGGTCAGAATAAAAACTCGGTCGTTGCATCTATGTTACTGTATATTATAAATAACTCTAGAAACATAAAAGAAATTATTTTACGTTTCTCAGTACCTTGCCACGGTCAGAGTGAAGGAGATTCCGCTCATAGTGCAATTGCTTACGCACTGAAGAAAGCAGGTGATATTTTTATACCTAGCCAGTTAATACCTATTTTCAAATTAGCGCGAAGGAACAAACCGTACGAGGTAATAAAATTAGACTACTCAGACTTCCTAAATTTTAAAAAAATTGCATCTGATTTACGCTTGCTTACAATCCGAAAAGACGACACAGGAAAAAGTGTTAATTGGACTGAAATGATGGAATATTCGGTATTAAAAACTGAACCAGAAAAACTATTTTTCAAAACAAGTCATGCTGACAAAGTTTCAAGATCTTTGTCTTTGAAAAGACAGGTTTCAGCTTGCCTTCATGAAGAAATTCCTTTGCTTAATCTTGAGCGACCTAAAATTACACTAGAAAAATATAACGACTTGATGTCGTTAACTAGTGGTAATACACCAATAATAAGATCTTCAGAATATATTGAATTTTATAGATCACTTTCGCATTAAGGTATTTTCTTTGTTGATTTTGATTTTGTTATTATCATTAGTTTCAATGTAGTAACATGTTTGATTTTTGTTAAAGTTATCAAAATTTTAATTAGGATTTTATTTTATTTTTCATATCAAGAGGTATTGATATTTGTTTAAAATAATATATTACACATTTAAAGGACTGTTTGTTTAAGTATGTGATTATTTTATGAATAACTCTAGTAGTTTGTCATTAAAATTACAAACAAATACTTATTAATGAGAAGTAATAATTCATTACAATGCAAAGACTGATTAATGTGCATTTCTTACCGTTTAGATGAAACGAAATATGCTGTGATTAGATTAAATATTGTGTTTGACAATAAAAAAATATGAAACCTAATTACTTTTTTGTTATTGATAATCAATATTATAATTAGTTACTCTTTATTTTACCTTCCAAAACACTACACATGGTGGCGTAAGTGTCACCTTTAAGAACTAAGTAAAAAACAAAGTTATCACAGAGTGACGTAACTGTTTTATGTTTTAATAAATAAATAAATACATGTTATATGTAAATGGACCATGTACTGTCTCCAAACTGATGGTCTTCTCTCTTTATCTATCCAATTAACTTGTATGTAACACGCGCCTACTATCTGCTACAACTCCTGATATCTACTACTAAACAGAAAATAGGTTGCCCTGTAAAATGTGCCCGTTGTTAGTTACGACACTTAGTCATGTGAGGGACGATATGTGGTATAATTTTGTGTGGTACGCTTTACAAGATATAGTTGTCTAATTATCTTTATGAACAAATTTTCTTTCATACATTGTTTATTATTGCTTTAAAAAATTAAGAAGTTTGTAAATAGACACTTTAGTTTTGGATCATTTGGTAAATAGAGTGGTTTGAAAAAAAATTGTAAATATCTATTTTTGATGAGAAATGAGAATTTCCGTTATAGTCATAATAACCTGCCACGCAGTATTTGAACTGTTTTGTTCAACATCTCAATCAATTCAACAAAGAATAAAGTAAATAGACCATTGTGATTAGAAACTCTATAATCGTAATATAAAATATATTTAAATTATGTAAATAGCAAGTTATGAGCAAAATTCATATTTTTGATTTGTATTTGAACCTATAACTATTAGAGATACTATGAACTACGGCAGGGTTCTTTCTTATTTAGATTTTTGTGACATCTCATAAATTAACTGCATCCATGCTTAATTTCCCATTCACAAAACTAGGTAAACTTCCGGGCACACATATCGGCCCACCTGGCATTGAAAGTTTTGACGGTCCCTAGTTAAAAATTAATGTTACATTGAGTTAAAGTGTTTTTTAGTTTTGAAGTTCAATTACAAACCATCTTTTTCGTGTGTTTTTAAATATATTAATATTGCTCAACGTAACATATATTTTGTTACAGACAGCAATGATATTAAATATCATTACTGTCATTATCGAGGTATTAAATATCATTGCTGTCATTATCGAGGTATTATTATTACTCCGTTAAAACTTATAACTCTGAGTCGCTTAATCTAAGTGGGCCGAAAGTAAATAATGACCCTGCGGTTGCTTGTTGACGATATATAGTTACCTATACAGGTACAATTAACAGTTGCTTATAGGGTAAGCACAATTCGAAACACACTTTGATTTATACAATTCTGATCTATTACCAAACATCAATCGTCAATATTGATCACGGTGCATCGTAAAACGCTTCCAGAAAACAATCGTTGTTGAATATTTTCTTTTTCAACATCCATGAATGTAGACACTCAGTGATCCAGTTACCTTCGAACTATGGCGATTATTTGCCGTCACCGGTATATATTACATTTACTATTTGTGTTACCATTACTTTGTTATTGCTATGAAAAAAGTAAGATTTCTGCTTATTAATTTTGCAAAAAACTTACAAATCTTCATCAGTAAACTCATTCATTTTTATCACCATTTCAGCATTACGAAAAATGGTTAGAAACCAATCTAAAATGATACAACAACCATTCAGCGTTAGTGATAACGTGCACGGAAGCATGGCGTGGAGGAACAAGACATTAGTTCAAGGAAATGAAGTTTTTATACACCCAGGGTATTCACAGGTCAAGACATTTATGCATAGGGTCCAATTTCCAAAAATTTCTACCATACTATCGTCAATGGATTCTCACAGCAAGGCAACGTATTCAAAAACAAAATTATCAAATGCGGGCAACATAGGTTCCCTAGAGTTCAGACTATCAAAGAATAGTCTCAAAAATTTGACAATGGCTTTGTCTCCAACTACCGAAGAGAGTTACCGGTTTTACCCGCCAAGACATACAAACAACTCGCATGAAACAGCCGCAGGTGCTTATTACGAGATACCACAAAGGCCGACAGCCTCACAATTCTTCCCTTCTTCTAACGACGGTGATTTACAAAGTGTGGAACAAAAGTCATTCAGCAAAGATGCCTTAGTAATACCTCCTAACCCTAAAAATGACAAAGAAAGCAAAAGCCCTGTTCTAAAAGGGATGTTCATAGGAGACACAAAACATAATAGGTCTTCACATACAGTAAAGGACTCAAAAAATAATGGCGTATTGAAAGCCGAAAGTGATGATAAGGTGGACTACTTGATTCAAAAAAATGCTCCTGTTGTAGCTCCTGCCTACAATTACAGTGTAAATGTAAATCCTTATGTTTGTGTCGCTATTCAAAAGGTGCAAAGTGATATTGATGCCCAAACAAAATTCATCGGTCTTGACATTGAGGTAAGATTGATTATAAAATGTAATTAGTACATTAGTGTTGGATATACTGGGATTTAATGTAAAAAAAATGCCTCTTTACTTATCTATTTCCTGTTGTACAGCCTCAGTGGATGTTCAAAAATCAGTTCTGGGATCACATCTTTGAAAGTCGATATGAATATTTAATGAGGAGTTCGAGTTGGCCTTCTTTACATGTAAGTACTCACCTTATATATATCTAAGTATTGTTGCTTTAAATATCACCACTATTTAAAATTTTTCTTTTAAATAAAAGCTAGTCAAGTGCTAAGTCGACTTCGCGCACAAAAAGGTTCTATACGTTTTTAAGGTTTAACATTTGAAATAAAGCGATTGCAAATTGCGTTTCTTGTGATAACTTTAAAATCGTTCTCTTAAAATTTAAAAATTTTATTATATAGCAGCATTTAAAATTTGCGAAATATAATTATTATATTAATATATTTTTCTGCATTTAACTGTTAGATGTTATGCCCGGATAGCGAAGGATGCAGGTTCGAAACCCGTCTAAAACCTGGACCGCGTGGATAATTACGTATCATGACCAGAGATGTGACTTATCTACTATATAAAATCTACTATATAAAAATAAGTCGGGTTTTCCTTCCTGACGCTATAACTCCAGAACGCACGAACCGATTTCCACGGTTTTGCATTCGTTGGAAAGGTCTCGGGCTCCGTGAGGTTTATAGCAAAGAAAATTCAGGAAAAATTTCAAAAAAAAAAAACTTCTTTTAATCACCAAACGAAATATTACATAAAACGAAGCCATCTGATAGCGAAACGGAGTTCGCCTGGTTTGCTAGTCTAAGATAAAAGTATCTAAGATACAGATACAAGATACAAAATACGTATCTTGTATTTCAAATACTTTTTTGAAATTTATCTTGTATTTAAATACTTTTTCCAGTATCTTAGTATTTTGAAGATACTATTTTTGCTAAAATACTTTTTTTTCTAAAATTTCTAATTATTATTTTTTCAAAACGCTTTACTTTTCTATCACCTTTTTTCACCGCGAAAACTAAATCTAAGTTCATATGTTGCCGTCTCTTTCACCTAAATGTTATTTAACGGGAGAGCAAAAGATTGCACGTCTCAGCAACATGACAACTGCTTTTGTCTGCCGTCGTCGCGTCGCAATTAATTACAACTACGGATTCAGGATTTAATGTTTTCCATACAGTATCTTGGCTTTTTGATAAATCTCTTCGATATTTAAAACCTTATATACAACAACACGAACTAAATCGTGGCCAAAACCTATCCTAAAAGTACATTGGATGATCTAAATATCTCCGTGGGATGATCGGATAACCTAAACAATAAAGTACAATATTGAATGAAACATTGAAAGTCACCATTAATAGCCTATTTAATGTTATAAATATTGTATCTTTGTTACTCAATCGCGCAAAAAACGTTTTAATTTTAACGTTAAAATTTTTAATTGAAATTAAGACCTCATATTTAATTTTTTAGCAACCTAACACGACGGCAGTATACATTTCTTTTTTACAATCATTTTTATCAAAAATAGTTTATAGCAAGTTTTAAAACGATATTAACTATAAATGTTTTAAATTAAAAAACATTGATTGTGACATTGATCAAAAAAATCGAAACCTACATAACGGACCGCGCGCGACTGTAGACGAAGTACCTAGTGCTTACGCGGTGTTAAGCACTACTTGATCCTGACACATTTTGAGAGCTCCTGGTGCATCTTATTTGAGAGTTATTAATATCGTTCTCAAAATACCTAATTAGTCAAAAATCTTTTTTAAGTTTCATACGACTTTGATTTTATTCACTTTGCTGTTGTGATAAGAAACAATGTCTTGGTTCAAATGTTTGAAGAATTTATATTTTTTAATTTTAAAATCCTACCTGACCCAATCCCCTACCTCGTGGAGCCTTGGAACCTGACTCACTGACAGAAACACAACACCACCAAAAGGTAGTGTTATTATTGTGGTCTTATGTAAGGTGCAGGTTCAATTCGAGCGGAGCGGATGAATTTCATCAAAATTCGGATTTCACGAAAACCAATTCTTTAAACTAAGATAAATGTATTGCATTGTAATACAATTTACTAATTTAAATAAACCTTAATACCAATAAAAATATGCTTTCTTCCAGAAAGTATCTTTATCTTAAAAAAGTATTTAGAAAATACGTATCTTGTATCTGTTATCTAAATACTTGACTGCCTAGTATCTTGTATTTTATATACTTTTTGTTAGGTATCTTTTACTACTCTACGGTGTGGAATCCACGCTATGATGTGTACGTTAAAAAGATAGAGCGCGTCCAAAAAAGGTTTTTATGGCATCTTTTTTTAATTTTTCTTGGTTAGCTAAAATTAATCTTTATTATTTTTATTACAGGTGATTTTGATGCCGTCCACGCACGTTGATTCTATTTGGAAACGAAGCTTCGAACACTACCATGTTAATTCAGTTAAAAAAATACTGTCGAATGTAGTAAAAAAACTACATTTCTATACAAATTTTACCTTCACATGGCATGAAGTATCACATTTGAGTCAATGGTGGAAAAAGACCACACCAAGAAATCGATCGGTAAGTTCGTTTTGTACCTTATTCTTGGAATCTATACTAATTAGATAAATGCGAAAGTCTGTCTGTCTGTTACCTCTTTACGATTAAACTCCTGACACGATTTAGATAAAATTTAGTATAGAGAAATTTGGAGTCCCAGAAAGGGAAATAGGATTTGTTTTGGAAATAGCCTTTGAGGGTGAAAAGCGGTGTAAAAGTTTGTATGGGTATCCAATTTTCTACACAGACGAAGTCGCGGGCACTCCCGCGTGCTAGTACCTTTAAATTAAAACTATGTATCATAGTAATGATGACATCCTTATAGGCTTAACTATCTATCTATACTTATAATAAATCTGTAGAGAGGTCAATTCTGTACATGAAATATATTTTCAAAATAACTATCAGGGGGTGATTAGTGATCGATACTGATGCCAAAAATGCAATCAGTAAAAATTTTGTCTGTCTGTCTGTCTGTGTGTATGTTCTTTATAGAAACAAAAACTACTCGACGGATTTTAACGAAACTTGGTACAATTATTCTTCATACTCCTGGGCAGGTTATAGTATACTTTTCATCACGCTACAATCAATAGGAGCAGAGTAGTGAAGGGAAATGTTGGGAAAACGGGAGAAGTTACTCCATTTTTTCAGCTTCCGTCGCGTGTGCAGCCTTAATGGTTAAAGTTACATAGAAATTATGTATGACGGAAATATTCTACATAAAATTGTGTAAAAAAATATCCCGCAACAGCATATATCTATCTTTTACGGTTATGGTTGACTCACAATAACACGTGTAACTCCTAATAGCTTAGCAGTTCTGAGCATTCCGATTATAATATAACGTAAATATGAGAATTTTAGTTTGATTATAAATACAAGTAATAAAAATGACCGTTTTTATCTATATATCTATACTAATATTATAAAGCTGCAGAGTTTGTTTGTTTGATTGTTTGTTTGTTTGAACGCGCTAATCTCTGGAACTACTGGTCCGATTTGAATGATTCTTTCAGTGTTGGGTAGTCCATTTATCGAGGAAGGCTATAGGCTACATATTTACAAAATTAGGGATCCGTAATAAAATTGCTATTTTGTAACACAAGGTGTAAAATCGAAAACCTATTTTTGCGTGCGCTGCAAAAACTATTGACAATAGAACAAAATGATGTACTACGGGTTTGTAGATCCCATTATAACCTACGAAAAAGTCTGCGAGAACATATATCTAGCTATCATGGTTTAATCACAATAACCTATTTTGTGTTCAAAATAATTATTTAATCGTCTGAAGATAAAAAACTACGTTAAATATGTATCGTAATATTAATCTTTATCGAAATTAAGTATTATGTTATCAAGAGTATTTATGTAGAAGTAAAATACTTTTTGTTTCATCTCAATCGGATATTTCGTTTAAAAGTTATCACGTGTGTAAGATGTTAAGAGTTGGTACCTATTAATGAGTTATGGGCCATAGAGTTTTTTATCAACATAAATTCCTGTAATAATCTTTTTCGAAATATATTTGTTGATGATTGTAAGTATAAGATCTTTGAAGAGTATAATAAATACATTTCTAAAATAACTCTGCTAAGGAAATCCACGCGCGCTTGATGCAGGCTATAATGCAATGCAGTGCGATGCGTACTTGCAAGCGGTCCTGCGCCACTGTACAGTAAGAATTTAATTCGCGCTCCACGCTACGCGGCAACAGCCGTCGTGAGTCGGTAGCAATGAGTTCCGATCAACTCATAGCTAACGAGTTGTTGGCGTTTATACAATACGCCATTGACACCATGGACGAGGTCAGCATCCTGCAGATCTGTAAGTCCAACTTCAAGGAGGATGAGGTTTGCAGTGGCAAGGCGCTGCTGTTCCGGTTTGTCGGCAAGGCCGACAAGATACCATCTCGACGGAGGGATGGAACAGAAAATAGTGTGCAGGATATAATCACCCTGCTAAAGGAGACGGATCCGGACGACGTGCCTACATTCGTGGCAAAGGAGCTGCACAAGCTGCCCCCGGTCACGTTCGACCACATCGATGTCACCAGTCTGCTGAAGGACATCAACTTCCTGAAAGCTAGCCTGGCTGATGTAGTGAGCAAGTTGGAGGACGCGAATAACACCATCGGTGAGTTGCGAGCTCAGGTAGACTTATTAAGCAACAATGCATGCGCAAGTAGGTCACCCGAAGCCTCTAACGTGAACACACGTCGTGGGGCGCAAAATGCATCCGTCGGCAGCATTGAGTCGGCGCCTGCGAGTGCGTCACCGGCCGCCGCCACCGCGAGCGATGCCTCGCGCCCCGCCGCCGCCGCCCGCCCCTCCGTCACACTGGAGACGTCACGCGAATGCACGTCTACACCGCAACATGCCTACGCAGCTGCAGCCGCCAGCCGACCCGTTGATGCAGTTCCGAATTGCGAGCGGCGTAGTAAACAACAAACAGAGAAGAGTAGCAAACTCAGCATCCAACGTGCTACTACGGCCGCGTCACAAAAGCGGATTTCTGACGAAGAGGGTTTCATTAAAGTGGAAAGGAAGAAGAGGAAGCCCATTCGCCGCAATCTGTGTGGTGCCGCCCCGATCGGACCGAACTATCTGCTGCGTCCTGCAATACCGCCGACGCCGCTGTACGTGTCCCAACTGCATTACTCTACGAAGGAAGAGGAGATCGTAGAGTACCTGCGGATTAAGACCAATTTCTCCCTCAGAGTCGCATGGTTGGAGTCCCGTCACAATGTGAATTTTATTTCCTTTGTGGTGCGGGTGCCACCGACCGAAAGGTGTTGTGTTCCGGCGGTTCCGAGGCCGGCTACCTGCAACCACTCCGCGTCACACGTCGCCGTCTATACGTGTTAATTAGGTTTCTACTAACATAGTTATTATTATTTCTTAATTACTAACATTTAATGTATTACCTATATCTGTATTTATGTAAGACTATAAGGTATTTATCTATGGGCCTACGTTGCCTGACTATAAACAAATAAATAAAAAATAAATAAAAATATAACATAGGCAATATTTTATCTCCGTTTTTCCACGGAAACGAGAAAAACGCGTGTGAAACCGCGGGGCACGGCTAGTAGTAAAATAAAAAGCTGAAGAATTTGTTTGGTTGAACCCCCTAATCCTTAATAAATCGAATAATGGTTTGGTAACTAGTACATTTATCGAGTAAGGCAATAGCAGCGGAGCATCAATAAAAAAATTGCAAAACAAGAAAAAAAATCAATTAAGAGCTTTCCTTTAAAACTTCTATATAAAGTTCGGACAGCATCATGTCCAAATCCATCTTTTAAGTTTGACTCACTTAAACCTTTTTCCTCAAAGTAGATGTTATCAGATAACGATATAACAAAAAAATATCAAAAAACCCCCGACTGCTTCAATATTACTTCAAGGGTGTATTCCGAAATATACGTCAGTATACTGGCCAGTGCACTGACGTCATAAATCGACGACATAATTAAAAATAGTGCGAACAAAGAAGCCAGCCTACAATATGTAAAAGAAAACCAATACAAAGTATCAATGAGAAAAAAGTCTTATTTTTATTGTTAAAAAAAAAGGTAGCCAATATAATTTAACCATGCATCGTCTGTCTGTTTGTTACTGGCACGCGTAAACAGCTAAACCGATATTGAAGAATTTTGGGATGGAGTTAAGTGCGCACCAATATCGTTGGCTCCCACATATAACTGCGAATTCGCATTGCATCGCAAATATCTGCGAGCTCGCACGAATGATTCTATCGCGTATTTTAGTCACCATTTTAGCTCGCTCTGAGACTTCCCTTGTACGATCATTTTTGTAGACATGGTGATAATAAACTCGAAAACCCGTCAAATGCAGATACGCTTGTTCTTAAATAATAAAAAAATAGGGAACTAATTTTTTGAGATGTTATTATGATCAGTTGAAAAACATATTGAGCAGTTATTTAATTAAATGGCGGTTGATTAATTATTGGGACAGTTAAACATGGACATAAATAAAAAAACAATTAGGCGGTTATTTTATCATACAATGTCAATTCTAAGAATAATTGAGCAGTCCAATAACTTAATGAGCGGTAAAAATGATGGAATGAGCGGTTCGATAAATAGTTCGGCAGGTCATAGCGGGCTGTGACACCCGAACTCAAATTCATTGAAAAGAGAGGTAAATTTTCGTTAGTTGGGCGGAGCTTATTAGCGCGGGTGGCCTGCTCTTATTATACAATAAGTTTATTTTAGCTGCTACTAAGCAAATTCTATGTAATTTAAATTACTTTTGTATGTTTAGAATGACGAATAAAAGTTCATATTATTATTATACAATTTGTTTTATTTAATTCCTTCAGTCAAAGCAAAAGTAATTGAATTTTTCATTTACTATTTAAGTACTGTTTTTTTTTTATTTTATTTTACCACCTCATTGTTTATAGAACTGCTTAGAATGAGATTTCTTAGCGACAAATTCCGATTTATTACTACCCACACGTAACCCATCGTTCAATAATTTTTATCGCCCATGTAATTATTTCCTGCTCAATTATATATTCACTGATCCATTTCATTATTTTTTATTACTCATATTTGTTTGCTTTACTGCTTAGTTTTAACTGTTGAACTAGTTATTACACGTACCATTTTTAATTTTTAACTTACCAAAACTTCTGTTTACAGCTGCCACTTTAAATCAGTGCCAAAAAAATATGTTCTTCTGATCTCAAGCCATAGTATTTTCGAGTACATTAGTTCCCACCAGCTTTCATAATCGTAATAAATGGATGAACCCAAAATCTTCTTTTTCTTCTATATCTATTTAACAATAACAGCAGTGCAACAATATTTTTGCGTTTCATGTCCACTGTTCCTAAAACACGTGCAATACGGCTCACTACCGTTGAAGGTATTCTAACTAATGCTTGCCGCACGAAATCGTATCCCAGCAATTCGCATCGCAAGTTCCTGATAAACAAATATATTATATGTTTCTAGCTGGTTACTTACTTAATACACTAAATACTTATCAGTTCTTGTCACGCATCACAATATAATTTATATTAATAATATTACACTTCTGGACACAGTCATCTATTGGCCCACCTTAGAGTTCAGGTTTCGATGGCCCCTACCGAAATATGAGAGCTAGATTGAACAAAAACTGTTGATGCAGTTTTAAACCTGATACATTTTACCATCTTTTTCGATCGTATTGTTTTAAATTTGAATTCAGAATACCATACGACTAGGGTTGCAACGATATATCGGAATATCGATAATATCGAGACCAAAATATCGATATTTATATCGATACTTAAAATTCACTAATATCGATAATATCGATATCGGCAATTCCAAAATATCGATATTTCGTAGAGTAAATTTGAACACAATAATATCAATTAATTTACCTGCAATGACTATCTAAATTGAATAATATCGAAATAACTATTGCTTTGAAATCGCAAGAGCTTATAGATGTATTAAAAAAATCTTGAGCCCCAAGAAATATACTAAACTGGTGTGGATTCTGGCATGATTCTCTAAACCTAAAATTAAATTTGACAACAGTGTATCCTTGTCATTGTCATCCTCTATACAGAATGGAAAGGAGAGACTGATGTTAAATTTAGTTTTAAGTTTAGATAATCATGCCAGAATCGACACCAATGTATATAGGTATAATCGTACACCTAATGGTAACTCATGCACTTAAATAAAATCCTTGCCTCTCGTCCTAGATAATTGTCAACTACTGATTAGGGGCCGTTCAAGTATTACGTAAGCAGATTTATTACAATTATTTACCCCCTCCTCCCATTTGTGAGCAATAGTAAGCAAAGCTTTTACCCCTTCCCCCCATCCTTACGTAAACATTGGTACCTATATGCATTTTTCCTTTAATGTATTCTGTTTTTTTATTGATTCATGAGCTTCATGAGCAGCAGTACTTAAAAAGGTTTAATCGATGATGCTGACGTAATCACCATCTCTACCCCCCACCCCCCCAAGTCATCAAAAATAAGCAAAGTAGAGACCCCCCTGCCCCCCTATAATGCTTACGTAATACTTGAACAGCCCCTTAATTGAAATTTAATATCATTGTAATATAACACAAAATAAAAATTAAGAATTTTATACAAATCGTAAATTTTTTAAGCTCGCCAAGTCAAGAAAGTAATATAGGTATAGTAATTTTGGAAGCCTTGGGCTTACCCTATTCTGAAGCCATGGGCACGCCCCTGATGTGTGGGTTTTACTAATACATAACAATTGTTTTTCATATGATTATCTTCTGATTCTGATTTTGGCTGCGTGCAAACATTTTAAACAAAGTAAATATCTTTGATTTGAAATTGCTTTTGATTTGATACTTCTTACAGCGCTATAAAAAATATTGAAAATATCGTGTTGGAAATGTTGGAATGGCTGATATATCGGATCGAATATCGATATTTACCTGCCCACATTATAAATATCGATATTTCGGAAACCTTTGCTTCCTTAATTTTAGGTTTTTGCTTTGCAAACTTAAGACAAAGCAAAAAAAAAGAAAAAAATATCGATAATATCGAGTTAAAATGGTCGATATATCGGATATCGATATTTTTCTGACTTCGATATAAATATCGATATTTCAGAAGACTTTGCATCCCTACATACGACATGGAACTACGCCTAACAAGTCAGATATGCGCCTTGTTACAGGCAATTGATTTTTGAATAAAAACATGTTTTATCAAATAAAGGTTTAATTTAATAACGCGTGTTGCCTCCATGGGTATCTACCACCGCTCTCATACGATTAGGCATAGAGTTTATCAACCGCTCTATGAAATTTTGAGGGATCATCTCCCATTCCTCTTCTATGGCAGTTTTCAACTCCTGCATCGTCTGGGCAACTGGCTGACGAGCCCTAACACGTCTTTTTAGCTCGTCCCACATGTGCTCAATGGGGTTCATGTCTGGGCTTCTGGCTGGCCTATCCATAACTGTGATGTTCACATCCCGAAGATATTCCCTGACGATGCCGGCCGCATGGGCTCTTGCATTTTCATGCATAAAAAGGAAATTTGGGCCCACATAGTCCGCGTATGGTATCACGTGAGGTTCTAAGCACTCACGAATGTACCTTTCAGCATTTAATGTTGGCAGCCGTGGTCCTGTAACAACCTCAAGTTGAGTTTTGCCGCTCGCGGATATACCGCCCCAGACAGTCCATGAGCCACCGCCATAAGCAACCCTCTCTTCAAAGACTCTTCTCTTCGGTAGACCTTCTTCCTTCCATCATTGCCATGTAACTCAATTTTAGACTCATCAGAAAAGAGAACACGGCTCCAATCTTGCTGTGTCCAATTTAAATAACTGCGTGCGAAATGAAGGCGCGCTGTTCGGTGGGTTCGCGTTAGTTTGGGCCCATTAGTTGGCTTGTGTGGTACCATATCGCGTTCTTTTAACCTTCTCCGAACAGTTCGAGCGCTCACAGATACTCCGTGGAAGTCGCGAATTTGTTTTTGTATCTCAATGGAGGTAAGGTGACGATTTCTCAAGCTGGTCGTCACGATTAATCGATCCTGCCTTTCAGTTGTGACCCGAGATCGTGGCCTTCCTTGGCGACGAACAAAGCCGCCAGTCTCTAGGTACCTCCGATAAACATTTCGGACCGCAGATCGACTTAAATTAAGTTGAGCACTCAACGTGAGTCTTTGGCTGTGTCCGGCCTGAATAAGTGCCACAGCTTGGGCGGCGACTTCAAGTGAAGTATCCATAGATAATTGATAGAACCTCACCTTAATGTTAAGAATAAGTAATGTTTGTTGCAAAACCAAAGATATTAATCACTTTTTCAAGAATTAAATCCAAGTAAACCAATAAAACCAAGTTTTCTTAGTATTCGATTGTTTGATATCAACAAACAGGCTCCAAATTGTCTTTTGTTTCTTTAAATTCTGTGTTCGAAATTCAAAAAAAGACTATTGAATGAAATTGTGACTGTGCCAGGTTCAAAACTGCATAAAACAAAAAGTTTTTCGACTCGACCTAATATAAAATTTTAGCTAGGACCAAACGAAACTGAAAATACAAGGTGGGCCAATAGATGTGTCCAGAAGTGTATTTAATCTTTCATGCAGATTTTTAGAAAACTACTGAAAAGTGGAAGACTGGAAATCACTACTGGTGGTTGGGTTGAAACAGAAGAGTCAACATCACATTTATTTGGTCTAGTCCATCAATTAATAGAAGGTATTTCAAACATCCAGGTTGTCTTAACTAAAATGAGTTTATAGATGACGGTAATGCTTAATAATGTTTTCAGGTCATCAGTGGCTGAAACGTCATTTAAATTATTCACCGAAAGTGGGTTGGTCAAGTAATAGCGTAACGCACAGTCCGACATTTGTATATCTGTTGTCGGCTTCTGGTATATCATATCATGTCATAACAAATCTTCACTACTCATGGGAACAATATTTTGCCGAATTTCAGTACAGTGACTTCATCTGGCTTCAAGACTGGGATAGCGATATAAACATTCAAACAAATCTTAATAAACACTTAAATAGAATAGGTTACGAACGATATCCAAAACACGCAGTCTTAACTCATATTCTGCAATTCAATGCAGATAATTATGAGGGATGTGGACCCAATAAAAATATATGTACGAAGAATTTTGATTTCAGCAAATTTTATGAGAATATTGAAGTACATTCTTACAATATCAAACAGAAAGCTGAACTTCTACTGGAACAGTATTCTAAAACTGGGACATTAACACCCCATAACGTACTCATAGCATCTTTAGGTGGTCGCTATAGATATGAATCACAAGTTGAATTCGATTACCAATATAACAACTACCAAAGACTTGCTGACTTTGTTAACATAAATAGTAATATTTATAAAGCTAATATTGAATTTGGTACTCCTACAGATTATTTTAACACAGTACTAAAGAAGCATAAAAAGTACCAAAAGCTGAAGGGAGATTTTTCAAACTTTGCTGATATAAAAACAGGCACACCCGCTTATTGGACAGGATTTTTCACGACGAGACCTATGCTGAAAATCTTGCTTAGGCGAATTGAATCAACTCTTCGGACCACTGAAATCATGTTAGCCTTCGCGACTAATTTCAATGTCTTACCTCATTACAATTCAACAAATCTGTTTAATATTTTAGTTAAAGCACGTGAAACTGTTGCTCGTTTACAAGATAGGCATGTAGTTGGAGGTACTCTCAATATTATGAGCCTTCAATATGTTTACAAAAATATTTTATCTACTGTGAAAGGGTGTTGGTACATTCAAGAGGTTGTTGCAAGCTTACTTACTATGAAACAAAATTTAACTAATCCAGTCCCATATCTCAAAAAGCTTGTGTACAGGGAAGGGGAGTATACTAACGTTTTTAAAACTGTAAGTCCAGGTGATCAAATCTTTGTCTTAAATTCTCTGGGTCAGGAAAGAACTGAAATAGTGGAAATGGTGACGAAACAACCAAATATACGGATTGTAGACTACAATAGAAAAGAAATAACAATTCAAATTTCTCCTATGTGGACATACAATTCGGACGGCTTGATTAAAATATCTAGCACGTTTTTCAAAATATCCTTTTATATTGTTGTTCCACCAATGACATTGGAATTATATAGAATTAAAGATACATATGATGCCACAAGTAATGCAGCAACTGTGTACTGTAGTAATTGTATCGTGGATGGAGAAGGCGGTCCAGCTACAGTGTTACCATTCCCATTTATCATACAGCCAGTTCAACCTGGAGACGTGCAATTGGAAAGTTATAAACACAGAATAATAATTGATGAGATTACAGGTTTTTTGAAAACTGTCTTAGAAAAAGAAACAAATATAGAAAAACCTGTGATAATCGATTACGGAGCCTTTAAAAGTTCAGATGTAAATGCGGGAATGTTTTTATTTAACACGAATATAACCAAACCATTACATGATATTTTGTCGCCATATCGAATTGGTTTGAAAACTAAAGTAGCAATTATAATAGCTGGAATAGTGACATCTGAAATGACTACCATATATGGACATCTATTACAGCACACTATCAAATTATTTAATCTCATGAGTACTCCATTAGCCAATGCCATTTCTATCGAAAGCAAAGTAGATTTTGAGGCTTCTCCTAAAAATAGAGAATTTGAATTATTTATTTCCATTAAAAGCGATATTAATAACGACAAAAATAATCCTGAAATTTATATTGACAACAATGGATTCCAATATACACCACATTTACTGAATATAAGTAATAGAATTGAATCTAATATTTATCCAATGACTAGTATGTCTTTTATCCAAGACCACAGAAGTAGAATGACCATTTTAACGGATCATGCACAAGCAGTTACAGCCTTACAAGAAGGTCATTTGCTTATCATGTTGGATAGGAGAGTTTTATTCAACGACGGTAGAGGCACCCACGAGGGTTTAGCTGACAGTAGTCCCACATATCATCGACATTTCTTATTATTGGAAAATTTTGTAGATTCTGCGAACAAATATAGTAATTTAGAATTAAAATTACCAAGTTTTACGGCGAACCGTCTTGCCAAATTTTTGGATAACAATCCAGATATATTTTTAGTTGATAAAAAATTTGTGGATCATACACATTATGCATTTTTGCCTTTGATAAAGGCTTCTTTTCCTTGTGATGTTTCTGTTATAAATTTCAGAGTAATTGTCAATAAATCACTGCAACCATTTGCTCCGACTGCAGCTTTATTGGTGTTACACAGACAAGGTGTAACGTGCCGCATAGATGATTCAGCTCTATTAAACTGCAATGGTGAGACAAGTTTTGATGTGGAAAATATTCTTCGTCACACTAAAGCAGTTTTACACACAAACTTAGTGGGAACAAGTGAAGGCATGCCTATAAATACAATTAACAATGAAAACTTCCCAGCTTTAGAACTAATGACTTTGAAAATATATTTTTAGAATAATTAGGTAGACATTCAGCCCATCCACCTTCAAGACATTGATATAACCATCATATATAATATCATACGTATATTTTTTCTTTGTAGTTAAATATGGTTTATGTAAATATGGAATAAATACATTTGTAAGAACCTATTAGTTTTTTTTAATCCCTCATTTACATTATGTGGTATCAATTACAAGTTGTCATTGTAAGTTGAAACACTGCAAAATACCATTGTTACTTCTTACGGCCGAGTTTCTTATTTTCATTTAAAGTTGGCTATACTCGTCCACGCTACTGTTGTGTCGCTTAAGCCATTTAAGTCTGGATAGGTACCTAAACAAATATAGTTTCTCATGTATATCCCCCAAGTCCGTGATATCCCCATCATTTTTTTACTGTATGTTGATTTAATGTAATAAATACAACATAAAATATATAACGTATACACTTAAAATTATATTCTGTATTTAACCTCCTGAGTGAAACTGTAGTATATTTCCTATATTTACAACATAGAAAGAAAAAAATCCTGCACCGCCATCTAACGAAAGAAGGATGCCCATTTGTGACCTGTCAAATCTGTAAAAAAAATTTGCATGTATAATTATGTGACATACCTCAAAAAAAAGGTAATTATTCGCTTATTACGAAATCAAAATATCAACAAAAACTACAATCCAGTTTTTTTCAAAAATAATTTTTGAATATAACCATTATGTAGGTACATTTTTTGCTATCACACGAACACATCCATTAGGGAAGAGTATTGTATCAAAGTAAAATGACATAATTATGAACGCAGCTTAAATGTAGATTCGCACTCTCCTTTCCAATGTTGCCAGTCATGCGGTAAATACCGTATTTAAATGGTAATGTAATACTTAGAAGGCATGGCTTTAATTTAAAGTTTCTTTCCGTTCTTAACAAAGACTGGCCATTTTCTTAGTGAAACATGACCGAAATAGTTAGGACTCCATCATCTCTTCGGCTGACTATATGAGAAGGAAATTCGTTCCGAAAAAATGCCAGCAATAATGACAGCTGCTCATAGTACCAATCATCTCAATTAATGGAAGGTATTGTAATTTTATTTTAGATTATTACCTACTTATATACTTGTCTACCAGAGATTTAAATAATACATAGTTAAATGTCTTAGATGTCTATAGATATAATTAGGTAAAGGTCAAGATTATCATTTATTCATTCGCTTGTAGAAACTAAGACATTAAGTACCTACTATTTCAATAAAATAATTGAAACTGAATTATTGATTAAATATAAAAAAAAACTTGTTTAATTCCAAAGACAATATTATAAGGATGACACCTCAGCATGATACATGTTATGATATTAATCCTTTTTTCTTCAATCCTCAGATCAAGCTTCAATCAAACAAAACAAGCGAATTGAAATAAATACCTAGCTGGGCTAAGACACCACAGCTGTGACAGCACACAAATGAATAATCTTATGCTGGCACTTCACTTGGCTATTCATGTAAACTTGATTTCAGTCTGTCCTTTTCTTTCCTTAAAACATGATAAGGACAGACTGTTGTCAAGTTTACAAATAGCCAAGTGAAGTTCCGGCATTAGATAATCTATAATCAATCTCGTAACCACAGAGTAAGTAAATGACATCTTCAGCAGTTGAATAACCTCAGAATTAGTTTTCGTTATAACTTCTATTCCTCATTGCCAAATCAAACCAAATTAGCAACATTATTTCAGAAGATTGTAATAATTAGTTAACAACCTCAACAGTCAATATACATCCATAAAGTAAAAACCGAAGTGACAGGTTTTCGAATGTATGGGCAGTGGGCATTGTTCTTTGCTCGGTCTTTAACTTTCATTTCATAAACAAAACATCTATCAGCCATACTGAGTGGCGATTGGCTGAGAGAGGGGCTTAGATTTTTTTTTATTGTTCATTTCACGCAGTGTTGCCAGGTCTCCAGATTTTACAGGAGATCTCCTGTTTTTCTGAAATTTCTCCTGTTCTACTGTTTTTCTACATGAATCTCCAGTTTTTTTAGAAAACGATTTTCTTTTTTAAATTGCATGTTGAGTTGCATTTTTCGTCATTAATAATGTAGATAACCTTAATAATTATAAAATAAATGTAATTGTCTAAAGAAAAAATAGCTTTGAGGGGCGGCAGAAGCTACAGAAACACATTCGTTACTGATCTTTATCTCGATTTGATTTACCATTTCTAGGGGGGGGGGGGGGGGGTGCAAACCGGAAAAGTACACCCCTGCATCTACTGTTTTTTTCTGTAACGCCTCCCGATTTTTAAAAATCGTACCTGGCAACACTGATTTCACGTCGACGATGGCTTCGGTATCAGGACCTCGTGATAAGATTGTTTGATTTTTTTATGAAAAACTATGTTGTTTGTAAAGATTTTAGTAGTTAATTGTTTGCTTTGATGCATTTATCGTAATTATTCAACGTTATTGTATTTCACCGCACATACAACTAAAACATTAACAATAAAAGTTTTATGTTGTACTAGTAATACACTGGTGTCGATTCTGACGTGATTCTTTAAACTTAAAACTAAATTTAACATTAGTCTCTCCTTTTTATTCTGTATAGAGAATGACAGGGATGCACTGTTGTCAAATTTTAGTTAAGCTTTAGAGAATCATGTCAGAATCGACATCATTGGTGTCGATTCTAGCGTGATTCTCTAAACCTAAACTTAAATTTGACAGCAGTATATCCTTGTCATTCTCCATACAGAATGAAAAGGAGAGACTGATGTTAAATTTAGTTTTAAGTTTAGAGAATGACGCCAGAATTGGCACCTATGGTTCTCAACGATTTATGTGTACACAGAATGGCCAATGTAGTAACTATACAACATAAGACATTTTTACTTTCCATTACATTTTTTGTAATTGTTTTGTTAGTTTTTTGGGATAATGAAATCAATCTGATTCTTATTAACATCTTAGAATAAAATTGATTGATTTGTCGGATGAAGAGAATCCAACAGAAGATATCCATTCAGCGCGAAATTATGATAGCAGTACCTTTTACCCTGGTTCTTCAAATATTTCGGATAGAAGATAGAATTCGTCCGGAATCTGAACATTCTTTGCGTTCTTCTTGCTGTTACCCACAGTAGTCATGCCAGGACCAGAAGTGGACCCTGTACGCGTGGTGGTCGATCGAGTAGTGCAATAACTGACAGCATTCTCGAACAGATGCTTGACGCCACAAATAAAACATATCCTCCGAAAAAAAGGAGAAGAGTTAGAGAAGACGTTCGAAACATTCATAGGCGTCCTGTCCTAGTCGGCTAGTCATGGGGTCTATTAATTTGTCAGCTATAAGTACGTATTGGTCAGATAAATATGGGATTCAAATCATAAAATCTGCTATGAGTCGGAGGCGATATTTTCTATCAGTTCAGGAAAGGAAGGACATAAAAACGATTTTATTTATGGAGATTCACACAACAAACTTTTGATAGGATTTTAATAGGTAGATATTTTTGTTATATGTTAAAACGTTATTTATTTTATATAGATAATCATGTTAAGGCTTCGTAATTTTTAAGATAATAAAGCAAATCTGCTAACTGAGGTTTGTAAAACAGTACTATGTATAAAATTAGAAAATAAATGCCTCGTTACTTGATTTGAAAGTTGTGTTTTACTATGTATTAAATATTTTATGTAGCAAATGTACTTAAATATTTAATACATAGTATATATATCATCATTACATAAAATATTTTTTATATTGTAAACATACTGCATTTTGCACATTAGGTATACAGAACTGATGTTGTATATATACAACATTGAGAAAATCTAGATTTTCCAACAGACATTTTTTTTCTATTTTTTGAGAACATCTAGTAACCTATTAAATCGATCCAGCAAGTTTTAAATTAAATTCCCGAAAACATAAGTCGTGGTTCTCAGGAGGTTAAATAAATAGATCCCATAATGAATAAAAATGTTTAATGAATATTTTAAACCTACATCGTCAATGGAATCTTTATCATAATTTCGACACCGCAGCCTGAAAAGGATGCGAAACGTCAAAAAAGTAATAAAGTTATTACTAATGTCTTAAAACTTTGTTTCTTTTAAGATGATCAAGTCAGCAATGAATAATTAATGATGATGAAGATTAATTAATTAATTTAAAGACTTATTTACAGTTATATTTTTTATTTTTAAGCATTTAACTGCTAGATGTTTTTATCCAAAGAAAATGCACCAGGACCAGGCAGCAGACGGGACTCGAACCCGCACCCTTTACTATCCGGGCGAATGCACTGACCATTATGCTACCGCGGCTAGCCTTTTTTAAGCTGCAAGGCAGCGCCATCTCTTCCCTTGTAAGTAAGCAATGGTGTAAATTCTGGCGTGATTCTCTAAACTTAAAACTGAATTTAAGGTCAGTCTCACCTTTTCATTCTGTATAGAGAAGCACAAGGATGCACCGTTGTCAAATTTAAATTTAGCTTTAGAGAATCATGCCAGAATCGACATCAATGTCAAATGGATATCTTTACAAGTATTAAACCAGATGATCACATGCCTGAAAAAAACCCATTAAATTACAGTATTCTCAATATAAAATTATAAAACAGAAAAAAGCAAAAAATGTAAAAGTTTAAAGCTTTAGGGGGCGGCCAGAGTACACTCAGATTCAGATTCAGATTCTGAAAACAAGCGCGAGAAATAAACAGTGTAGTCGAAGGGTACGGCCAGAGTGCACTCCTGATTCAGATTCAGATTCAGACTCAGAAAACAAAGCGCGAGAAAAAGCAGGCAACCTGCTTAGACTACACTGTTTATTTCTCGTGCTTGTTTTCAGAATCTGCATCTGAATCTGAGTGCACTCTGGCCGCACCCTTACAGAAGTTTTAAACTTTAATATACTATCTATGGTAAATATATTACCTATGGTTTTTTATTTTGACTATGTTGTAGTTGCCGCGCCTTTAATTAATTCGTGTTACTTTTTGACGTGACAAC